AGTAATATACTCCATTATTCTCTTCTCAAAGCTAAACATCCCCATTTGTTCATTTTCTTTTTAAGGTTTAATTTCTAATTCCCTAATCACCCTATTGGCTTTCTCTGAACCTATTCCAATTTATCTGGATCCTTCTCAAAACATGCCCAGCATTCTCAAAGTCAATTCTAACCGTTTCAGAACAAAACTGGCCTTGTGGCTTCTTTTGATTTATATGGTCTTACCACTTTGCCACCAAAAACAGAAAACAATGAAACAAATCAAATCAAAATGATATCTCTCAGTTCTTCAAAGCCATTCAAAAGGCAGTCACCTAGCCATGGCTGCCACCTGCTCTTTGAACAAGAGACAGGAGTCTAGGATGATGAACAAATTTCACGTTGATTGTATCTGGGGCAGTGCAAATCCCAAACCAAAATAAGGCTGGATCTCTCCCTCCTACCAACAACTGGAACAGGTCCTGGAGAAAGGAGAGCAATCTTAACACGGTGCTTCCCACTCCCGACTCCTTATGTAGAACTAGAACACTGTTTCCCAAACTTGACAATTTTAAGGCATGAGGACTTCAACTTCCAGAATTCCACAGCCAGCAACGCTGGCTGTGGAATTCTGGGAGTTGAAGTCCTCATGCCTTAAAATTGTCAAGTTTGGGAAACACTGAACTAGAAGAATGCCATGATTGATGGTATATCATGGTGTTGAAAAATTAAGGAGGGCCAGAATGGATGCACAGCTCCCATCCTGACCCTGCCATAGGATGTCACTAAGTGTGATTAACACCAGTTCAGTTAGGACACAAATGCAGCTGGACGGGATCCAAAGAATCATCTTCCTCTAGGGCCCTCTTAGTCTCCAGCCTGACTACCTTCTCAACAATCTTTTTCAGAAAGGGGAGCTTGATTAGAAATTATTCGGCTCATTCTTGGATCCAACCATGGCTTGTTGAGGAAGAGACAAACTCTGCTGGAACCATCTCACTTAAAGATGAATTCAACATTGCTTGTCCGCAATGACTCTTCATCTTCCAATGTGCCTTATCTTCCAAAAGGAACTTGAATCTAATAGTGGCTCTTTTCAGAGTCTGGGGGGGGGGGAGAGTTAATCCATTTCCCTAGGATTGATTGGCTGAAAATCCTACCTAGGCAAGCTATATCTAGGATCATTCTGAGTCTTCAGATTCAGAAGTTAAAGAGACTCCAAATTTTAGCACGCATCACAGAAATCAGTTGAAGAGAGGACAACTGAGGAGATGCAGGGGCAAGCAGAGTCACCTGATCCAGAACCTGAGCTAGGAGAGACCCCAAACACATCACCAATTGCAAATGAAGAAGGGGAGAACAAACATCTATGGAGATTCTCAGTCATCTACTGTAGTTCATGGTTGTCCCAAGGTGCTTTTTCCAAATTGAAAAAAAGCAGACTTTCTTGGCTTTTTTCTTTGAAAACGTTTTGCTTCTCATCCAAGAAGCTTCCTCTTCTGAGGAATTGAACTGAACTGAAGAAGCTTCTTGGATGAGAAGTGAAACTTCCAAAAGTCCAGTTGCCTTTTGGAAAAAAACACTTTGAGGACAAAGGAAGAAAGAGCAAGGAAATGAAGCCATCCACCACCTGATGGAAGTGTGATTCAGCTTGTTATAAGGGCTATATAAAGAAAACTGTGTCTTGATTGGTTCTTTATGGCAATAAACATTCAATTCCCTGACTGCTTGTAACTCTGTTAGTATATGTTTTGGATTTCTTAGCTTACCCTACTGAACTCTGGACTAGAATCTGGATACTCTTGGATCGTTTCTGAAATGGCGTTTTGTCTTTCTGGACTATCTGAAAAGTAAGATTTGTATTTGAATTGTCCAAGCAAAGAATATGCATTTTTAATGTTTTTATGTTATTATAGTTAAAGTTGTAAGACTATAATAAACAGAGAATATATCAGAAAATGATTGCATGTATGCTTAGTAGCATAGAAGACACCATACCTCAATCAACTCAATAGATACCTGCACAGCCAAAGTTCTATAGAAAGTAGCTATGAACACTCAGTCTTGAATAATTCTCCCAACAGACCTTCTTCTCAAATGATCCTATAATTGATCCTTCCCTTGGAGGGACTTGGGTTCTAAACAGGGCTGCCAAAGGGCAACCCATGGATGTAATCATAGAAGATAAGTAGTTACGTTTTGCTGTTATAAGCTCAGCTCATGGGCCGACATCTGGATTGTTTAATAACCGGGCTGGTTTTAAACACCAGATCTGTAATCTGATGAAATTGTGTATAAGAAGACGTGTCATGTTGAACACAAAGCCTGTTCTAAAAGAATATGTTACTTGAGAAAATAGCTGTTCAATACCATTTTCAGTATATTAGATAACGGAAACCAGAGAGTGTGTAAAATATTGTTCTAAAATTACATATATTGTCCAGTTAATTGACATGAAGTGGAGAATCTCTCCACTCCAAGACTGAATGGTGTCCACCTTCCGGAGAACTCGTCATTTTAAAGATGCATTATGTATCTTGAAGCAGTGGGGCTCAGTTGATTTTGCTTCTGCCTGGCCTTTCCCAACAGGAACTGTGAGAGGAATTACATTTCTTAGACATTTCAAGTTTCTAACAGTTCCTTGAAATGGTGGCTCTATAATACCAACTTTCCCAGTCCCTCACTTTTCCAGGTGAAAGGAAAAAAGATATAACTTCAGGAAGGATGAGGCACGTCACCTAAGACCTTTATACTCAGAGATCTTCTGTGTTTCTATACACCATTTCTGTGGTCAACTTGAACTCATGAATATGAAAAAGCAATCCTGCTTCCTGCTTCCCATGCATTCAACTGACTCTACAAAGAAGCTACAGAGTTGTCATTGTACCTAGTTAAAGTTCTCTCTCTACTTGGAAATTCTGATTTTTTTCATGATTTCCTGTCAAATAGAAAAATATAAATACATTCTTTGCTAATTTTTATACCAATGTTAGTTGTAAAAGAAAAGAGAAAAATCAATCACCTACAAGTTCAGTGTAAAACAGTGGTTCTCAACCTGTGGGTCGGGACCCCATTTGGGGTCGAACGACCATTTCACGGGAGTCGCCAAACAACGCAGTCCGCCATTTTTTTCCCCTTTTCCTTAGCTGTGCTACTCCCTTTTATTCTATTGGCTTTTGAAAGCCAATAGAATAGACTCTCTTGAATAGAGTCTAATTCTATTGGCTTTCAAAAGCCAATAGGAATTGTCCAGGCTGTCTCTGTCCTGCTGAGCCTGCCAAAAGTCCCATTCTGCAAACGGTGCTGCACCAGTTGAGTAGTCCTCGACTTACGACCGGTTGGGGGTCGCGGCATTAAAAAGGTTGAGAACCACTGGTGTAAAAGGTCTTACACATTTTGCTAGATGCTGTTATAACTCTATAGAAGTAGCTCAGACCTAGTGAACATGGTATGGGAAGCATTTAACATTTTGTTTTGTTGTAACTTGTGATTAAATAACAATTACTCTACAATACTGCTACGTGTATTCAGGAAGAATGTCCAATAAACACAGCCTATTATTAAGAAACAATAATAGAATTAGGCTGCATAAAATTAAGGTTGGGCTGTTTATATAATAGATTATATAATGTTTTGCAGATTTGCATGGTCCGTATTTATATAAATAGATGCTTTGGCGTTTGCATGCCAAAAATGATACTATCTATTGAAGTCTGATGTGTAGCAGTTCTAGGTGGTCATGTTACACTGCAGTGAAGATCTGAAAGACACTCAGTGTTGGTAAATGGATAGTTTTCCCAGTAAGGGACATCAGACTCATAATTAGAAAAAGAATATCTCAGATTTTTTAATGGCTTATCGCAAAAATCCAGTTATAAGTGACTTAGAACACACACTCCATCTTAGTGCAGTCATCTATGCTCCAATTTCTCTTTTAGCTTATGCTTTGTTTTTTTTCTTCCTGCTCTGAAACCAACTGAACAATGATCGCTAGTAAACTGCTGGAAAAGTTTAGGGTAGCTTTTGACACTTTTTCAGACTTCCAAGGCAGGACAAATTTCATGCTGATTCAAAGAGGAGAGGAGAGATGGCATGTCTGTCTGCCTGCCTGCCTGCCTGCCTGTCATCATTATATTTCTATCCTCCCTTTAATTTGTAGAACTCAAAGAGATGTAATATAATATGTCTGGGCCCTACTTTCCCCACAAAAACAGCTCTATGAGGTGAGTTGGCCTGAGAGAGGGTGCCTTGTCCAAAGTCATCCAGTCAGATTTCATGCCTAAGGGAGAACTCAAACTCAGTCTCCCAGTTTCTAATTCAGCATCTTAACCACCTCACCAATTTAATGTTGCTTTTGTGTATTACATTCAGTGAAGTTTCTCTACAATGCCTAAACCAGGGGTAGTCAACCTTGGCTCTTTTATGACTCGTGGACTTTAATTCCCAGAATTCCTGAGCCAGCTTAGCTGGCTCAGGAATTCTGGGAGTTGAAGTCCACGAGTCATAAAAGAGCCAAGGTTGACTATCCCTGGCCTAAACTTTGAGGTGCTGTGTAAGACAACAGAAGACTGAATTCTGAACAGCGTAACACACACATACATTGGCTGTCCCATTAATAAATATGTATAACGTAAAGAAATTCAGTGGATGCAGCCCTTATGATACCCTTTGTTGTGTTTCTGCTTCTCTCACAACAGTTAAAGACCAAGAAGTCTGGAGGAAATAAAAAGCAGCAGCTCAAATCAAAAGCTTATGATGCTTTTGTCTGTCTGTGTGTGTGTGTGTGTGTGTGTGTGTGTGTGTGCGCGCTCCGAATCAATTGTGATCCAGCTCTTTAATTACAGCCTGAACAGAATGTTTTGATAGCTTTCCTGGACTACCCAGTTGGAATTCAGGAAGAATTTGTTCTTCATTAAATAAAAAATAAAAAAAGCAAGTTAGGCATCAGCCAGCCTCTGGGAGGGTTAAAAATAATCACCTGCAGTTGAAATGGGACTTGGGAACTAGGAAGTGCTGTGGCTCGAGTTTCCTGTATAAATAAGTACAGCTTTCACACAGCTCTTGCATATGTGTGGTGACATGTGCTTTAAGAGATAATGATAACATACTTCTAATAGCAGGGAGGAGATTATTTCTCGTAGTGACGGGAGGGAGGGAGATGAGTGCACTTTCAAGCCTATAACATGTAAAGCTTTCCCATGCAGCAAGGAAGAAAGACGGAAAGGGGGAAATTGTTTTATTTTTCAGTCTCTGAGCTCTTGCTGGCTGTAACATGTCTTGGAATTACTGAAATGTGAGTGAAGCTGTTGAAAAGTCCAGCAATGAAGAGGGAATTCTCCTCTCCGTTTGTGAGGTATGTCAGAAAGATCTGCATTTCTTAAGAGCAAGGACTGTGGATTCAGGGGGCTATGTAGTTCTTTCATTTTCAGATGTGGGGGATCTTAAACAGAAATCATGCTTGCTATCTAATTTAACTTAAACTGTTGGTAGTGCAATTCTAAGAAAACTGAGGCAAAAAATTACTGTTTTTAGATGCTCAGTGCCAGGGCTCAAACTATAAACACAGCCGTGTGTCTGTAAATGTATGTGTGTTTTGTGCATGGGTATCTCTCTCAAAAAATGATGCTGACTTGATCAGTGCAGCACTTAAAAAGAGTAATTTTATCTGTAGGGAAGATGAAACTCAAATGGCTAAGGTTACAGGCTCATCCATTTGAAATGGAAACTTAACAGCTTATCAAAAAGATAATATAAAAGGGACGAAATGAGAGAGTCTGTCTGAAAACATACCCATTTATTGTAGATTGTGGATATAATTGGCAGTACAGTTTATCTGTAACTTGTATGTGAAAAAAACACCAGGTTATAAGGATATTTTATTTGTTCAGTAATTTAGAAAGTACAGTGGCAGATAGGCTGGCAAATATTGAAAGAGTAATATATGGAAGTCTGTCTTTTAACACAGATTACCATTTTCTAAGCAGAAAATGAAATGTGTGTTTACATATTTATAGACCTCTTGGAAACCAAATCCTTGTGTAGTGGTCTTAGTACAAAGCAGTTGTTTCTGCCTTTGAAATATTATTGTGTGTCACAAAGGAGCTAATAAACCCCCAGAATTTGAATTCCAGTTAAATACTTTGAATTATTTTTTTTAAAAAAAGTACTTGTATAAAATGTGTTTTCTGCAACATACATTGGTTTGCAATTGTGGTGAATATCTGTAGCTCGAGTGTAGGATGAGGGCAAAGGTTTGTCCTCCGAGCTTGTGGGCTGGTTTCCGAGTTTCAACTTCAATTCCGCTGAAGATGTTGCCTAGCCTGGTAACGAAATGTTCAGAAACCAACCCCCAAGCTTGGAGAACAAACCTTTACCCTCATATATTGGTTTACTTCTGGAAACATGGTTCCAGAGACTTCGAACAGCCTCTGCTTGTGGAATTTTGGTTCTCTCACTTTTATCTTAACCTTGTTGAGATGATCCAAACTGGATTTATGCACAAGTCAGAGGGATTTAGTATCATACCTTCTGGCATTTTCACAACCTTCAGGCATTAATTGTAACCCTTGCTACCTGCCGTTTCTGCACAGTGTACAATCTGTATTCAGTGTTTATCTTCATGGGATGAATGTTTGCATAGACTACTGTAATACTGGGAGAAACTGAGGGTCAGAGGTAGGGTTTCAGGTAAGGTCCTCACCCCACTATAGTGTCCTCACCCACTATTGTACAGAATAACAGAAATGAAAGGGATCTTGGAGGTCTTCTAGTCCAACCTCATGCTCAAGCAGGAAACATTTCAGACAAATGTTTGTCCAGTCTCTTTTTAAAAACCGCCAATGATGGAGCATCCACAAATACTGAAGGCAAGCTCTTCAACCCATTGATTATTCTAACTGTCAGGAAATTTCTCCATAGTACTAGGTTGATTCTCTCTTTGATTAGTTTCCATCCATCGCTTCTTGCCCTGCCTTTAGGTACTTTGGAGAATAGGGTTGACGCCCCCCTCTTCTTTGTGGCAGCTCCTTAGATATTGAAACACTACTAACATGTCACCCCTAGTCTTTCTTATTTTTTCTTGAAAATCAGCAATGCGGTTAAAGCTTAATTTATATCCATTTTTCCTCCGCAAGCAGCCGTAAGAATATAGTAGGATAGGACAGGTCTCATTATTCGGCAAATAAGAGGACTGGAGAGGCAAAAAACTACATTGTATTAAAACCACTGGAGTTAGAAAAAGGTGAAATGGATGGCTAGAAGGACTAGTTCTACCTGGCAGTTCAGTCAAGGTTCATGATATTCTCCCAATAAAACCTTGTTTCTCATCTTTTTTTTTTCTGCTTTGAAAGCAGCTGAATGTCCATCACTGGTAAATAGCTGGAAGAGTTAATGTAGTTTCTGGCATTTCTTCAGGTTTCCAAGGCAAGCTGAATATTTAAGTTCTATCTGAGAACCCTTTGTAAATATTACTATTAACCTTGAAACTTGGAACTTTCTTGACTCCTATCTTCCTCACCCAGGCAGAGCTGGATTTTTTTTTTTTTTTTGAGCTTTCCTATTAATCCATTGCTTTCAGTAGAGGTATGCTAACATGAGTAAGTTCCACATTGCATAGTAATGACCAAAGATAAAATTACACAGTGGAGTCATTAATTCAGTCTGCACACATGTTAAGGACTTTGGAATATTGAGATATGAAGAGCACAGACTTTTTCTGTTAAATTGTGGCTAATAGCCTGCAATCAGTAAACTCGACTGAGCTCATTTTCATTCAGGTGCAACGCTGAAAACTGGATCAGCTTTGCCAATTGTTTTGAATAACAGATGGAGTCTTTTTTCTTTCTTTCATTTTGCATGTGATTCAGATCTTTGTTTATTTTGGTAATGCTAAGGGAAGAAAGCCTGAACTGGAAGAAGACTAAAGCCTGCATGAACTAAGGGAGACATTGTTACGGATGATAATAGAATCATTAAAAGAGGCTAACAACTCCAGTATCGGAATACAAATTAAAGCATTCCCAGCAAATTATTGTTTAGTCTCTGCTTCAACACATCCATAACGGACTACAGAAAAACCTTTTGCCTTTGAATAAGCCAAAAAACAGCCTGGAATTTTCTCAAAAAGGATTCCCCCCCCCCCCAGCCATGTGAATTAGAAATTATCATAGCTGACTTTTCTCAATGTGCTAGGCTAGAATGCTTCAGGTCCCTAATTTATTGATTATAAACAAGAATTCCAGTGCACACTGCCTTATCACTACCACTTGCCTCCTCCTCCAAGTGGGAGGCACTAAATTAATTAGGACTTCAGGTCTTAAAAAGCCATAATTCTATGGCTCAAATCTGGACATTGGCTACATTCTCCTTAAGATTTGGTGAGTAGAAACAACAGTCCTTAACTGACTGAAATAAGATACAAAATATCTAACTGAGGCAAAGGCAAATATTCCTAAACAATAAACCCAGGAGTAATATGATATTTATTTTATTCTCTGCTGACATTTCTGAACATAAAAGTTTGGGGATCCCCTGTACTTTCAGTCTCATTAAGAGACAATTCTGCGTATTGTTCAGTAGTAGGTAAAATTAGCAAGATTCCAAATATTGACTTAGTTGTCTGTGTCAAATTACTCTGTGCTCAGAATTTGCTGTCTTTGTTTTTTTTATAGAAAAGGGTCTTTCAGGAGGGACCTAACTGGTCTTTATTATATAGTAACAAGAAAGTATGAAACTAAATTTTAATTTGAAAATGATATGGCCAAGTGTAGTGGTGAAGTTCCTGTCTTGATACACTCATTTGTTTGAATGCCAAAGCATAAAATGTATGATTAAACTGGCTTAGCTGTGATACTTCCAAATTCTCATATGATGAATAATAGGCTAAATTTTCCATTGGTGTTGTGAAAGCAGCCTATAGCTGAGTAGTGTAGGAAATACTATGTGACCAGAAAAGGTTTTAAGCTACAGACCAAGCTTTAGCAACTTTTGGGCTAAATGTATCTTCCTACAGTTTCAGGACCCCCCCCCCTCTTCATTTTATTGTGAAAATTGGTGAAAATAAAGTTTGTCCCTGATTTTTAGTGGGAAGCTACATCATCATCATCTAATTATTCTGCACGTTTAGTCTGGTCGATTTCATTCTAATGCTAACGAAAGGGATGGGACTAGAGTGTTTTGATCTTATCGGTTTTTCTTTTGTTTTTCTTTGTCTTTAGTTGATTTATATTAATCTACCAAGCCCACTTTCACTGTTGGGGAATTTAATTAGGGTTTTACCTCTCATCGATGTACTGTGGAATGGGACAGGATAAAACTTCGGTGTAATTTGAATAAATGAGTGATTAATCAGCTAGAAAAATTAGCACTGGGGGATATTTGTGCCCCTATTACCTCTTTCTCTTTGGGCCCTGCCCACTCTTTGACATTCCGTACAAGACTGAATGTGCCTCTTGGCACAAAGGAGCCTTGCAGTTTCTGCTTTGATAAATGCTGTTCTTTTGTTCCATGAGTTTCGATTCTGGAAATCAGTTAGTGAACCTTAACAGTGTTGTTGACCTTTATCTGGAGACACTAGCATTTATGATATCCACAAGACTTGGCAGAGATAATGCCACATTCCTTTTCAATACCACAGTGCCCTGACTTTCTTACAAAGATTTTCAAGGTTTGGTCACAGACTGGGTGCAATATTTTTGTTGCCTACCTTGGTTTTCCTCCACTTGTTACCACACTAAAAACTAATGGAAATGCTTCCACTGAATTTTGTGAGAAGAAAATTAAGCCATAGCAGCCTCGGACATGGATTCTGGGAGGACCAGGACCTCTGCTCTTGCTTCCTGCTGATGCTTTACAAAAGTAAAACTATGTGGCTCATTGAACCAAGCTTTTCATTTACTGCAAGGATCCTTGTAGAAGTAGCCCTCCCCTTACGATTATAAGCGAACCAAAAATGTGTATTTCTCAGTTGATAAGTGAGTTTTGCCCCCTTTTTAGGACCTTTCTTGCCAGCGTTGTTAAATGAAGCACTGCAGTTGTTAGGTTGTTAAGTGAATCTGGCTTCCCCATTGATTTTGCTTGTCAGAAGGTCTCAGAAGGTGATCACGTGACCCTGGGGCACACTGCAACCATCATCAATATGAACCAATTGCCAAACGTCCAAAATTTGATCACGTGACCATTGGGGGACGCTGCAGTGGTTGTAAGTATGGAAAATGGTTGTAAGTTCGAACAGTCCCTAAATGAATGATTGCAAGTCGAGGACTACCTGTATTGTTTTTGGAGCTGTTATGGTTACTTATTGGGCCTCGAGGAAAAAGGGGAAGACTATCACAAGGAGGCATGATGGGATGGTAG